GTTCAGCTGTATTAAAGTCCCATGGGAGAATAGCATTTTCTGTTTGACTGTAACATTGGGGACGTGACAGCACACTGCTCTATGTTGGTCCATCCACTTGATTTTGTAAGTGAATCAAATATAGGAGAAATTCACTGTAACAATAATCTTTTTGTTAGAAGAGTTTAATTCTATTTTAACCAGACCCAGTGCCAGATATTCTGCTCCTACATGTAAAACTTAGCATTCTTTTTTTGCTAGAAAACTACTTAAAACCCCCAAGCATTATTTTTTTTTAAAGCAAAGGCCCTTGAAAATAAAATGTGGATGTTGCATATTCTTATATCACATGATATTTGTACAGTGGTTTTTCAAATGCAATTTTTTGATAAAAATACACTTTAATTAATTGTAATCCACAAAAGCACAATATAATGCCCAATTGTTTGGTAAAATATAAAAGATGATTTTATGTCAAGTAAATAGACACCAAACATGTTAGGCTGTAAAACTGCATGTGCATGGAAGGGGGGGGGGTGCATTTTAATTTTTTTTTTTTACATTTCAGCATTTCTTTTATTTAAATAAAATGAACGCTGTACTTGTATTTTAACTTTATTGCTATCACAAGGGATGAACAATATCCTTTGTGCTAGCACAGGCTTTATTGAGAGATCTGGAGTCTATGAGACCCCAGATCTCTCCTCTGCCCTCCAAAGCATCTGCTCAAACCAAGATTGATTGGATCAGATGCTTTCACAAGCCAGCAATGGCCTGTTTATATGAGACCTAAACCAGACATGATGAAATCCTTGTCGCATCTGATTTCTGATGTCATACAGTGGGAGGAACAACATAAGCTCCCCAATCAGAGGACCCGGTAAAGGCAGTGGCAGTAGGCGAGGAGTGGGCCTTCTGCCGCCTCTAAAACTAATCCAGAGGCCACATTGCTGTTCAAATTACTTTTACCAGAAAGAGAACCGCCAGCTGAAAAAATTGATAGCAGGGCTGTAGCTGCAGTCATGATCCTGGTATAACCACTTCAGCCTTAAGACATTTATAAACGGGACGAGAAGCGGTTAATATATTTATGTAAGCCCATGTTCACATTGGTGTTTAAGGACTTCCATAGCTTGGTCTGTATAGTGAAAAATTGCCAGACTATAGATGTGTGAGGTCAGCATGTTATACCACAAAAAGCTAGAAAAAAATTAATTAATGTATTTTTCGGTAGATTGTCCTCCCACTGCCAAACAAAGGGATACATGTTAGAAAGAAAGGTAAAGGTTCAAGAAATAGGACAAAAGAACATACTAAATAAATTATTGTGTCAGTGCAAATGGAAGTAATACATCTTATAGATTTTTACTAAACAATTTGAGTATAATCTACTATACTCTATTTGGGCATTATAAGTTCCATTTTTGTCATTGTAGATGAATCTTGCTTACTTTCCCCCAAGTGCATCTTTTTCCAAATCTTGATGTCTTTAGTAAATAAAGTATTTTACATTTTCAGTTCTAAAAAGAATACATAATTGTTAAGATTGCAAGAGAATGTTTTAAGATGTATGGTGTGCTCTTTTAAGAGTAGCACCTTTCTCTAGGGAGCCAGAAAAACCAGGATCTATGCATATATATTCTTTATACCTGAGGGACAGGCAATTTATTTTTATGACAAATTGACTTACTTTGTTAAACAATTTTCCATGAAACCTGTGCAAGGAATAAAGAAGGCTTAGGGGAAAAATAGAAGTATGGGAATCCTGACTATTCAGAGGTGCATTGTATTAATTTGCTCTTTGGAGCTCTGAGCACAAACATAGTAGTAACTGCTGGAATCCATTCAAACTTAAAGCGTATGTATAGTCAAACACTTTTCTGGTTAGTTTTCGATAGAGTATAGAATTGTTAAAAACCCTGACAGTTTCCCTTTTGCTTTCTGTATCCTGTTAGGGAGTTTTCCCTTTGATTTCTATCCAGGCTTATTTTAACATGCTTCTTGTGATCCCAAGCCAATAAAAACCCACCCAGTATGTTAATTTATCCAGATGCTCTAGGCTCACAGGGGAATACTGCAGAGAGTGGCAACACATCATAATGTGAGAACGACTCTGTGCAGCATTGGGGGACCCACCCACCACTGTGGACAGAAAGGGAGTCCTTATGATCAGCCTGAAGAATCATGGAAAAAATACTATATATGTATACATATTTGTTTCAAAACCAGGATTGGTACTGAAGTGTTCCAAGAGGGTTGGGCCATATGGGGGTGAGAGAATAAACTAAATTTGGGATTCAATGCTCAGAAACTCAAAGCAATCAATCATAGCAGGTCATATTATCTACACAATATTGTAATCATACAAAGGAGAGGATCCAGAATAGAGTTAATTGTACAGAACAGTAATATCAAAAATTTTCATTAGAATTATTATTAAATATTTCTTATTAAAAAACACATAGCTCAGTTGCTAGTTAGTCTTCCTTCAGGTTTAGTTTGACCATCGGATCACACTTGTTTGGGTGTACAGCCCATGTTTGCATGAGTGTGGCAGCCCATTCATTTAAATGGGCTCCTGTGCCTATGTTTCCCTCAAAAAAGGGTGTTTGTACCTTTGTAAAAATGCAACCGCAGGGAAATCACATGGTGCTTTTACACCATGTGATTTCCCTGTGGTTCTTGCACCCGCAATCATACTGCAGGTTGAAATGTGTGGGAGTGCCATTAAGAATGAATGGCAGCCCTGCTCATTTCAAAAGAGCATTTTGGCTGCAGGTGGTTGCGGGTGCAGAACCAGCTGAAACTCTCGCGCCCGCAACCACGCCAAACAGTGTGAACCTAGCCCTAAAGATCTGTCTGCATTTTAATTTTCCATTGTAATAATAAAAAACCTTGCTTTTTTTGCCTCTTGGGATAGACAACCTTAAAAAGGTGAATTGTTATACAGTAAGTGAGGATCCAAACAGCAGTTTGAACTTTAAAATGGTTGCAACTAGCTTTATTGCATTTCCAGCATCAAATGAACACAGGCAGCATTTCTATTATCAGAAAACGTAGACAGGGTCTTCAGATATGAACAGTCCTACCCTGTCCCTTTCTATCAGATAATTATCATTATAATTAAAGTTTGTATCCAAAAAACACGCTTTCACAGCTGAGCTGGCTCTCCCTGTGGTTTTAACACCAAATACAGAACTTCTGACTATATCTACTGCCTATAATATGCGGTGTGTAATGCAACAGAACAATACAACTTTTGCCACAAAATTGTGCACCAAACTCAAACAGCAAAGTCACAGCAATGTTATTTAAAGGTGTGCTTTTCTTTATGTATCCGTATCCAAACTATACTAGTTTTCCACTTCTTTCCAGGTATGTCTGTATTCACTTTATGCTACCATATATCAGCTGTATCCTGCTATAGGGTCTTTTGCACATGGTGTATCTAGCTTCTGTGCATGGAATCCCAGCATTTTAGTGCACCAAGCAGGCACGAGTGCAATGTCCAGCCTTGCTACCTGCAGCCTATCAAAGTTTATGGCAGGGCTAAATGCACTGCGGCAGGATGGGTCTAAATGTTTTACCGAGTGGTACTCATATTTAGGGTCCTATGCATTCAGGGACAGTCACCGGGAAAACAGAATATCAGCACTCCAGGCAGGTGAAGAAACATCTATCCAAGGAGACACCAAAATAATAAAACAGGAGATTTAATCCTTTCCTATAATATTCAATTGTAAAGTTTGGCTATACATGTATTTTAAAATTAAAATACTGTTTTTTTTATATTTAAATGAAGGTGATATTTGGAATGTAAAAATTGTGCATCTATCACAGTAAAGTAGTCTTATAGATAAGTAATTAATAAATCTAGAAACAGTGAACTAAAACAGCACTTTTGTTACATAGCCTAAATGCAATCTAATTGTGTATAAGTAAAAGGAAAAAAGAAGATGGCAAATGTCAGAGGATTGTCATAATAAAGTCAGGTGAAGAGCATTTTAGGAAGCAGATCATGTAAATCACATAATTTTGAACAGTTTGTTAATTTCTAGTTACTATATAGGATAGTGGTTAGAATAAAGTATATAGGTAAAGTGTATAGTCACAAATGAAAACAAAATTAGCAGAAGGGACATTACTTACAGTCAGTATTATTTATTATTATTATTATTCAGGATTTATATACTGCCAACAGTTTGCACAGCGCTTTACAAAATGAAGGTAGACATTACAGTTACAATACAATTTGGTACAAGAGGAAACAGATGGCCCTGCTCGTTAGAGCTTACAATCTAGGAGGAAGGGTTGAGTGATACGAAAGGTAATAGCTGTGGGGGGGGGGGGTGAGCTGATGGAGGAAATAAATTGTGGTTTACTAGGTAGAAGCAGGATAGACTTCTTTAACCACTTCCAGACCGGACACTTTTACCCCCTTCCTGACCAGGGCAATTTTCAGCTTTCAGCGCTATCACACTTTGAATGACAATTGCGCAGTCATGCAACACTGTACCCAAATGAATTTTTTACCATTTTTTGAGACAGATAAAGCTTTATTTTGGTGGTATTTATTCACCGCTGGGATTTTTATTTTTTTTTTTGCTATGTAAATGAAAAGTCCAAAAAAAATTTTAAAAAGTGTTTTTTTTTTTATAAAATTTTGCAAATAAATAATATTTCATCATAAATCTTTGCCAAAATTTATTCCGTTATCTTTTTAGTAAAAAAAAAATCCAAATTAGTTTATAACCAAAAATTATAATTTTTTAAAAAATTTTTTACATTTTTATTTTATTTTTTTATATTATTATTATTATTTTTTTTTTTTTACATACTGTCACCCTAGCAGTACAGTGTCACCATAGTGACACTGTACTACTTGTGGGGGGTGATGAAGATTTTTTTTTTTTTTTACACTGATTGCTTTTACACCCATATAGGATGTAAAAGCAATCATTTCTCTTTCTCTGTGTGCATTCTTGCACTCATTGAGAAGTACTGAGTGAGCTGTGATTGGTCACAGCTTGTCACATGGTACAAGGCTGCTGTGAATAGCCTTGTACCATGTGACCTCTGTGATCATTCACAGATTTCACACGTAGTAAGCAATGATGTCATAAGTGACATCTTGCTTACTACTTTGCATGTGATCATTGATTGGCCAATCAGTGATCACATGATCGGGACCTCGTACAGAGGTCCCGTCCGATGATCGGTGTTTCACTGTGTCCGGAGGACACAGCGGGCACCGGATCGCGGTGGTGCGCGCTCCGAGGGATTACACTGATTGCTTTTACACCCATATAGGATGTAAAAGCAATCATTTCTCTTTCTCTGTGTGCATTCTTGCACTCATTGAGAAGTACTGAGTGAGCTGTGATTGGTCACAGCTTGTCACATGGTACAAGGCTGCTGTGAATAGCCTTGTACCATGTGACCTCTGTGATCATTCACAGATTTCACACGTAGTAAGCAATGATGTCATAAGTGACATCTTGCTTACTACTTTGCATGTGATCATTGATTGGCCAATCAGTGATCACATGATCGGGACCTCGTACAGAGGTCCCGTCCGATGATCGGTGTTTCACTGTGTCCGGAGGACACAGCGGGCACCGGATCGCGGTGGTGCGCGCTCCGAGGGAGCACGCACAAGCAGGGTGCGGGGAGGCCGTTTATAAATGGCCACCCGACTCTGCACTGCCACCGTCTGGCCGTTTATATGCAACGGCCGGTCGGGAAGTGGTTAAAGAGAGACAGCTGGACAGATTGGGGTAGAGAGTTCCATAGGGAGAAGCTCGGTAGAAATCCGGGAGGCAAGCATGGGATGAGGTGACACGGGAACTAGAGAGCAGAAGGTCTTGGGAGGATCGCGGTTTGGTTAATATTTTGAGACCAGGTTGGTGATGTAGCTGTGGGCAGAGTTGTGGATGTCAGTAGGATGTGTTCCTGGTGCTGCTGTTTGTGTTGTATTCATGAGCTAAAATTCTCCTCAGTCAATCCATCCCCTACCCTTGCCACCAAAATCCTATGGTGTGGTAGGGGTTAATCAAGCCCACAGGGCTGTGACACGCAGGCATCAAGAATGTCCGACTATGCTCGCCCTTTCTGCCTAGCTCCTCTCATCATAAAAGATGTACTATTGTATGTATGAATGAAACAAGATCAATGGAGGACGGGCAGATGATTGAAAGGTCACCCTCGTTCATTCATAGATCCTTTCTCATTCCTATAAGTGTACAGCTTCTATGAATGGAGGAGCTGGGCAGAAAGGGTGAGCATAATCAGACACTCTTGTTGAGAAACAGCTTCCTAAATTGTATTAAGCCATGCTGCATCAAAAGATTGCAATGGCAGGGGTAGGGAGGATTGATGGAGGAAGATTTCAGCTGATAGAGGAGACAACAGCACAAGGGAAACATCCTACTCACTGGAAATAATGTCCATTGTTCTCAGTTTTGTTTTTTTTTTTCATGTGTGACTAAACTTAGCCTTTTATTAATACAAATCTGGTTAATAACTAATGTGTCTTCTCATTTAATAATCCATAATTAAAATACATTTCCTTATGTTAATTTTTTGCTCACTCCTCTATTACACTTGACAATGTCTAATGTGTCATAAAATAAAACTTATTCTATTAAACAATATTATAATTTTAAATTGTAATACTTCTCCAGCGGCTGCCAGCAGGCTGGTTGACGTTCGGTGAAGTCGCAGACATTACTAATACCGTGGTGGCAAATACTTCAGTGATTCAGAGGTCATGCTATATGTTTATCAAAGCTAATGTAGTCCAAAGAGATCAGTAGATGCTATTAGATTTAATTGTGCCAGACATATGTAATGCCATATTTCAATTGATATAATATAGAAAAGGGAAATATTTTTGTTTTGTCCCACAAGGTACAGGGCCCCTGAAGACTAAAAGGAGAGGCTCCAGGCTTTTCCAGCAAAGATGGGACTGCATGTGTGTATGCAAACATTTAAACCCCACTGCAAACTGTATTTATTAATAAAATGATTAGGCATAAACAAATCTGTCCTGATTCGATTTCAAGGAGTTCATCAAATCATGCTTGAAATCTGCAAAACCTAAACTTAGCAGCAAATCCTATTGAACTTAAAGGTGTAGAAAGGGAGTGGTAGCAAATCCTGGTAGTAAATTCTGACCATTTTCAAGGCCAAATAGGAAAGTTATTGTAAAAAAAGAGGAGCATGGCACTGCCCTGAGGGACATTAAAAAAACCCTTTTAATAAATAAACTGGCTTTTTATATTTTAACTATTACATTTAGCTTGACTTAAATATAGCAGCAGCACCCTGATTCATTTTAACTTGAAAAAAAAAAAAGATTTCTAAGGTAGTTTTGACAGCTGTGCGTGACTTTTTATTTATCCATTTTGATGTCAGAGGTCAGAGGAGAATGGGCAAACTGGTTTGAGATGATAGAAAGGCAGCAGTATGTCAATATGGGCCAAAATCTCTGAGGAATTTTTATACCTTGTTGAATCTATGCTATGAAGAATTAAGGCAGTTCTGAAAGTAAAAGGCGATCCAACCCAGTACTAGCAAGGTGTACCTAATAAAGTGGACGGCGAGTGTATAGACATAGCCTGCCTTCCTCAAAAAGGGACTGTCCAACAAAATGACAGACAAGACTAAAAGGAGACAAAGAGGTGCTGCCATTGGAGATATTAATTGACAAACCTTGCTATTGTGACCTATTTCTCCCCCTGATTCATTTTACCTTTGAAAAAGACTTTTAAGGTAGTTTTGACAGTGATGAGTGATTTTATCTTTTTCTTCAGTGAAGAAAAGTAAAGTAAAGTAAGTAGCAGTACAAAAAAATTAACCATAGAAACATATGACCATAGGCTGTCTGCCGTCCCCAAACAGTTTCCATACAAAATGACAGGCAAGACTAAAATGAGAGGTAGAGGTGCTGCCATTGGAGGTATTAAGCGACAAACCTTGCTATTAGGACCTCTTTTTTCCTTCCATCAACTCCTCCTTCTAATCCTCCTTCCCTTCCTCCTTAATCTTCTACAAGTAACATAGGAGGAGGAGGTGAAAGAAGAATAGATAGTTAATCATAAATGGTGAAGAACTGTAGAAAAGAGGCCCCTTCCCCCTTTTTTATAGCATGGAAGTCCCATATTAACATATTTCAAGCTGGCATGACAATTTTTGTTTGTATTTTCATAAAACAAAATTACTTTTTTTTTGTTTTATTTTATTTTATTTTGCATCATAAGACCATCCCTGGAAGCAAACTCAGACAGGGACAGCAATACAAACTAGATTAAAATAAAGGCAGCTGGGAAGGGGAACCCAGTTGAAATTTCTGGGTCTAACACATTGGTTTCATTTGTTTAGAGACTCAGTTCAATGCTGTTTGGTCCTCCTTGACCTTTTTCTGTGCGTCTTTCTCCAGGCACAAGAGGTAAAGAGCAGGCAGTAGCAAAAATTAAGCACACAATGGCCACAAACACACCACCATATATCTATTAACAGCTTTCCCAAGCCAGGCTTTTGCTGCAGTGGAAGAAAAACATTTGCCAAGGTATATTCTACTGTTGTCATCATTTAAGGCAGACCTATGATGAAAAAAAGCTGTTGCTAAAAAAAAAAAAAAAGAAGAAAGAGCTTCATACAGCCTGAAGAAGGGATGTAAGTTATATCTAAATACTTGCATTATTAATAGTTTGAGTTAGCAAATAAAGGATATCACCAAAACTCCAAATGTTCTGCATTAATCAATAGCTAACACATTTAAGATAAAGAACAAATACTTACCTTTGCCCATCACCATGCCTCACAGCTGCATCCTGGGATAGTTCTCAATCTCATGAGAATATGCTCCTGCAAAAACACATGCTGACGTGATCTCACACTTTTATAGTGTGGTGGCTGGCTTATCCTAAATCTCCCTTCATGGTTCTTCTAAACCAGCTACCAAGTTCAAAGGCCAGATAGTGCATTATAGTTACAAAGAATTTGATCTGTTAATTTCCATCATTAATTTTCCATGTACATAAACTTCAAACCTATGTGTAAGGGATTTCCGGCAAGACGAATCGCGATTAGAAATGCACATGCGTATAGGAACTCCCGGAGAAGAGTTGTCGGTTGTGCGCATGCTCGCAGAAATGCGCAATCGTGCACGTGCACATGCACGGCAAAGATTGGTGCCAGACGGCCTATTTAAAGATTATCTCTGCTCATGTTAGATGTTGACTGGTCTTCAGCTGCCCCGTGCCCTGCTTGTTCCTGAGTGATTCCTTTGTTGCTGACCCGGCTTGTTCCTCACCTGTCTCTGATTGCTCTCCTGATTGATACTGGTTCCTGACTTCGGCTCTGCTCCTACACCTTGGCTTTCCTTCTGATTCTGTACCACGCTGCCCGACTGTTGATGACCCTGGCTATTTCCTATGACACTGCTCCTGTCTCTTACCCTCACTACCTGCCTTGCTCTGGTGCACGCCTGGCAATCTACAAGACCTGCTCTGCTTGTTACTACTGTGCCTGAATCAGAAGATCATCAGTCTTCCAGGGTCATCATCTGCAAGAGCTGCAAACAACAACTACTGGCGCTCTTGTCCCCCTGGTCCTAGACTCCCTCTGTTCCAACTCAAGTGAGGCCGACCTCGTCATTTCAGTCTCCCATCAGGTATGTGACATTATGGTAGCAGTGAAATGCAGAAAAAAAAGCAGACAAGGATAATTTAGAGTTGTGAAAGTTTGAAGACATTATCCTGCAAGCAGGCCTAGCGTGGCTAGTGGAAAAACTTAACATTTTTCTTTATTCTACTCAGCCTTTTTTTGTAGCTTAGGTTAGCTGAGGACACCTAAGGTGGGCAATAAAATGTATTATACCATGACATTTAATTTAAAAAATCATCTTTTGGAATAGTTTGAAATTTTTTGCAATATTATATTGAGGAGGGCTTTGCTAATCCTACTACATGCACAGATCACTTATCTGCAGAGTGCAGCTGAGTACATGCCTAGAATTGCTTACTGAACCATTAGTTATAGCATGCATATCATGGCCATGATCTTTATTGCTACCACGGTATCCAGCAATAGATCTTTTAGGCGAAACAAATTTTAAAATATGATCATGAAAATATATGATGCAAATCTCTAACATATTCACACCATTACCGTTTTAGTGAAGTGTAATGAGTAAGGAAACATTCATTATTTGTCTTAAATTTAGTTAAATTGACAATTAAGCACTCCTTCCCGTTCCCAACTAATAGTGGTTTTATGAAATGTTCCCAGCCAGAGCAGCAGATGGTGTGAGAGTTTCTACAACAGCAATCTCAAACACAGGATTTATTTTAGCGATAATACACTTTCTGTGACACATATCACCCTTGTATATTTTATTCATTTTTTTTATACAGAAGGTATCTAAAGGGTGTGGTTGAAATATTTAATTATATGAGA